GATCTTCTACATTGTGACTTCCTACTCTCTTTCTCATGCCCTGCAGCGTGTAGCTGGTCCTGTCGGGCTGTGGAATATCAGAGGGCAAGAATTAGAGTTTTATATTGAAGGCCTTTGTAAATAACTCTGGCTGGTAAGTCATCTTGTCAAGCTCTACACGTTTAGATTTCTGGTATTAAAGTAGTGTTAGCAGCTTCTCTCGTCACAGAAAGAAGTGCTGCAAGGAATGTTTTAACAACGACAAGATCTTAGAAGTTTTCCTCAAAATGGGACGTTATGCAGATCGTGGTACAAGAGCTTTGCTGCGCTTATGGGCGGAACGCCTGTGCCATGATGCCAATCTTAAATTTCTATTACTGCAGCCTACGTGCTGTAGAAGAAACAGTAATAATAAAAGCTAGTTCTGTGCTATTTTGAGCAGGGCCTTCTGGTAGCTTTGGCAAAAGCCGCTCAGGAACCAGAACCACAATTGCAGAGTAGGTTTAACTGCTTAGATAGGGACCTGCTGACATCATGATCAAGTCTCCTTTCTGATAAGACCTGTGTGTTTGGGGTCGTTCCAGTTGGCTCCGTGGTTGACGGGGTTTTCCAGGGAGCCCTGGGCGAGCCCTGCCGCCTGCTCCCGGGTCGTTGCTGCTTGTGGTGCCTCTGGGTGGAGAAAGCCCCGCAGACGGGGTCTTTGCAGGGCCCTGGTGCCACCCTGGGCTGAAGCTCGAGGAGCAGGTCAGGAGCAGGAGGGATATGAGTGGGAAGCCAGGTCTCCCGCTGCGATTTCCTTGGCGATTACTCCTGTTGATCCGATTGCGTAGCCTCTTTCACTGTATATACACACACAAATACACATATATATTATATATATGTATATGTATGTCCCTCATCTTCTGTGTGTGCCTTGCACAGCCATAACAGGGAGCCTCCGAAGGCGAATCCCGTAAATCAGCTTTGTATGAGGGAGCAGCCCCAAATCCCGGCTCCGGGGCAGTGTCCCCCTCGCTCCGTGGTGCGTGGCCATGTGTCACCTTGGTGCCGCCTTCTGCGGCCTGCCCACGTGGCCGCCCATATGGGCAGCACGCAGATTATTGCGGAAAGGCCAGAACCAGAAAATCTGCCTGGATCACGTTATGCAAGAGTTGAGCTGCTAGCAATGAATAAGCAGATTCGTTTAAAGGCAAGTGCTTCTCAAGGGCACCTCTTTTTTTTTTTTTTCTGCATGCGGACGGAGAGAATTGCTTGGTTGTTGGCTCAGAGCTGGGTCAGGTGCTTGCCTTGTGGGTGGTGATTGATAGGAATTGATTTTTCCCATGCGACTTTTCTCTCTGCGATAGCTTAAAGAACAGTACCTGGTGCAGAAACAGTTTCCTCAGGTGGAAGAGCAGGGCTGTTCTACGTGATTTAGATGAGCTTATCTCAGTCACCTTGGAGACCTTTGTTTCCTGTATAGGAGGAAAACATTTTAGCACTCTTCTCCAAGGGAAAAGTATTCTCTCCCGAGAAAATGTCAGGCTGTGCTGAATCACAAGGAGGATGACTTCTGAGATGAAGGAAGAAAAAATCCCCACAAAACCCAACCAAGCAGTGCTTGCTTTCATTTGGAGCACAGTTTGTCCTTCTGCAAACAAATGCAGCTGCAGGTGCTCCCTGGCACTGCCGGAGTTTACCTGCGAGTAGCTAAGAGGCGCCAAGAGCTTCGCTTTTCTACATGGTCCCTCCATGCCGTGTCCACACATTGAGCTTGGATGTGGTGCTGCGTTCAATCTGTCCTCCAGAGCAGAGGCAGAGCTGAGCAGATGAGAAAAATCTGAAAAGGCAGTTCTGAAAAGCTTAAATTTTAGGAGTTGTGGCCAACTCTTGCTTCTGGACTTCACTGAATTGAGTGAAGTGAATTGAGTCACTCTGGTGAGCTGAGGAAGATGCAGCTCACTGAGAGCTGAGGGTTGGGCAGCTCTGCAGCAGGACCATGGGTGCCTCTGGTACGGGCTGCCGTGGAGTTGAATGGGAGGTTATTAGTGGTAGGAAAAAAAGTAACTGTGCATGTCCTAATGATTGGGAAAGGTTCCCAGTGTGCAGAGTAACCCGAAATGTAGAGGGAGGGACTAGGCATTGCCATGTGAGGATCAGCGAAGACATCTGCTCAGCTGGGGCAACTTAACAACCCGGGTGAAGGTGAGCCTTCCAGGAATACCATGCCTAAGGGTGCCACAGTTTGGGAGCAGAATGCTGCAAAAGCACATCTAGGGCAAAGCAATGAGAAAAGTGGAGAAAATACTTCAGGAGTAGTGGCCGGAGAGCCCTGGGAGACTTGAAGCAAGGCTAGGAGACCTGGTGCCCAGCTGGAAGAGTAGCCCATCTGGGGTCTGCTCGTTGTCTGCTGCTTGGTCAGGCAACAAAGAGCTTTGAAGCCTTCAAGAACGGATGGAAATAACTTGTTTGTACTCTTTTTCAGAAAGCACTAGGGTCCTGGAGGAGTGAGAAATCATGTTCTTTGATAGCCCTTTTGCTCAGAGTTGCTTTGGTGCCGCGAGTGGGGTGGCCTGTCCTCGAGGGCTTGCACGAATCATGTAGGGCTCGTGGCAGCTTTGTGTCACCCGCTGGAGCTGAGCGGGTCTCGCCTCTCCTGCCACTGAACTTAGTGGTTCGTGTGTTGTTTTTGACTTGTCATTCTTGTGTGTGTTTGTCAGAAGGCTGCGGGGTGACGTGAAGGTAGGACGTGAATCAGCAGCTGCCAAGAGCAGCGACTCCTTCGGTGGAAGTCTCCAACGCTTTGTGGTAGCTTCTCCTTGCGCGTCCTGAAGTGTCAAAAATATCCTGTTCAGCTATGCCGTGATCTAATGCCTCTTTCCACAAGAAGTAAAGAGTGTCAAACTCCCGTCGTCAGGGACCTTCCTTAGTGAGGACTGTGTTCCTAGGCCGAAGGAAAAATGAAGGAGCCATTAGTAAGTGAAAGAAATTTCAGCAAATTCCTGTGGTTCTTCAACCCTATGAGCAACTGCTCAGTAATGTATTTTGCTGAAGCGCCAGCAAAGTTGTTTCAGCCGGTGCCTGAACTCTCTCTAATTCCAGCATGTCCTAATGTTAGGAAAAAGGTCCTGGAGAGGGGACCTTGGGAATGGTTTGGATAAGAGACATGCAGAACTACACGAGGCCTCTGTGCCCCGCAGTAGCGTTGTTCTCATCCCCTCTCTCATTTTTTCCCAGCGTGATCACATGGGCTTTGGGTGATTTAGGGGTTTAAACTGGATTCAAAAGCTCCTCTAGGACCATGACTGCTTATGGGGCAGGTGAAGCTGCCAGACAAGATAACCCTGCTCTAAGGAGTCATGGCCGGTGGGAGAAGCAGGAAAAAGCAGCAGAAGAAAATGAGGAGGTACTGAATTTTGGAAATGTTAGCAATGTCTGTCCTACTTTACACATATTTATACATATATATATATTATATATATATATATATATATACAATTTTATATTATATATGTGTATATAATTTGATATATAAAAATATTTTAATAATGACGTTTGTAGTGAATACAAACCAGGAAAGACCAGGAACGTGCTCTATAAATGCAGAACAAATGCAAGTTTGGATTGCTCAAGTGCCTTTAAAAATCTAGTCTCTGGAATTTGCCATTTAAAGAAAATGATGTGTATGTGTTTGTGTGTGTATGTTTATATATTTGTGTGTGTGTGTGTGTATGTGTGTATTTATGCACACACACACATATATCTATACACAAACACACCCTTTCTGTCAATGATGAGTTCCAGAGGCTATATCTATATATATATAGAGAGATTTTTTTTTTTTCCCTTTTGGGGTGCTTCTGAAAACATGGTGCTAAATGGTGTCCAGGGCACTTGGGCATCTTGAGAATGAGAAGCAGGCAAAAGGAAAGAAGAAAATTGTTAATAGAGACGAGTAATTGTTTTAGCTTTTAGCCCACCAAGGGCCAAGAGCATTCAAGGTCAGAAATGCCCTTCTGTGATAGGGGCAGTTGCAGTTATCGCAGATGGTTCAAAGCAGCCCCCCTCCAAATCTGCTGCATCGACACCCTTGTTTGTGTTCCGGCCCAGGACAGCTGGAGTGCGGGGCACAGAGGCCTCTTGTATTTGTGTCCAGGATTGATTGACCTTGGCCTCTCAGCAGCACCCCAAGACTTGATGCTAAAAGTGGTGGGGTAGCCGTGGGGTGAGACCTCTGCGGGGTAGATTGACCAAAGAGCCTGATCCGTGAATGACGCATCGAGAAGGTTTGTAGGAAGCAGCCGACGGGTCTTTGTAGCTGCTTTTGTAACCGTTCCCTCAGTTACGTGCAGCAGCGCCGACGCCGCTCCTTGGCGTGCGGAGCGTGGACGTGCCTGGGGTGAAACGAGTGGTTCCCTTGGGTGCTCAGCCCCAGGAAAGCACCCCGCTCTCCACCAAGCAAAGTCAGGCTGCTGCAATAGGCAGCAGTGCTGCCGGTGCTCGAGGTACTCCACTGCGGCAGAGGAAGGATGCCGCGCTCATTTACCTTACAAATGGAGATTTTTGCAGGGTCTAATCAAACTGTTAGACAAAAAAGGCAATGATGGAAAAGAGAAGGTATAAAAAGCTGCAAAATGCTATATCCTAGGAGTGGAATAGCAGGGAGAGGGGGAAAAGCAGCAGTGCAAATGAGATGAGGGATGCCAGCAGTGTGCGGTTGAGTAATTTTGTTTTGGGGCAAACGAGAGCTGCAGATGAAGCCCACCAGTATTGAGGGAGCTGATGCCAGGGAACAAGCCATGCAGCTCGACCCAGACGCTTCAGCCCATTCCTCATTTTTCTGTCTGAGAAGCTTTCCTGGCTTTTATGGCTTAAATGTGCTCATTGCATTTTGGGGATTATGTTATCGTAGGCCTTTACTGCCTTGGAAGGCGTAGCTGCAGCAGTGAGCGATGGGGTATTGCAGGGCAGAAGTGAAGGTTTGGGGGCAGAGTGAATCCAGAGGGATTTATGCTTCCTTTTCCTCTGTTCCTGTGCAGGACACAGGCTGAAATGGCCCACACGTGTCGCGGAACCATCAACCTGTCAACGGCTCATATCGATACGGAGGACTCTTGTAACATTGTGCTTTCCAATGGGGGAAGGACATACCACTTAAAGGCAAACTCAGAAGTGGAGAGGCAACGATGGGTCACGGCCCTGGAGCTGGCCAAAGCCAAAGCTATCCGCATGAGGAACAACCAGTCAGGTAGAGTGCCAACTAGAATGCAAACACGCAACCGGATCCTTCTGAAAAGCCGCTCGGGAATCAGCTCTTCTGTGCTTGCTTAATTGTGCAGAAATCTCAGTAGATGCCATTTCTTATGCAATTAAAAGCAGGTGATGGTTGCCCCGAGCCACAGAGGGTTTTCAACAATACCTCGTGCTCCAAATGTCCTCTGGCCGTGGAGCATTAAGCAAGTGCTTTGAAAGCCCTGGTAACGACGCTAAACTGCATTTGCAGGGAGTCGGTAGATGTGAGCTTGAGATGCTCCTGCTGCAAAGCAGGACGCGTGTGACCGTCCCTGGGAGGATCCGAGGGGGTCGGTGCGCAGGGGGGTCCTGTGGGAGACGCGGAGCACCAGTTCACGACGTATTGCCAGGGCCTTGCTGCACATCACGATTTGATAGCTCTGTAACACGCAAGCCCTTGATTAACGAAACTTGAATTCACCTTGCTTCTCCCTCTCAGCGCGTATTTCCTGTTTTTTTCCTCCCCCCTACACCCTAAATTGGGGTGTTGCATTCACTAGTGTGCGTTTGGAACGGCTGTGGTACGTAAAGCTGTCAAGGCCATGTGAGCCCTAGGCAGCTCCTCCTGAGGGTGTCATTTTTAGGGCTCCTTTATGAAGTGAATGGAAGAGGTCCTGAGCAAAAAGCGCGTTCCAGATCTCTTGCAACATTCCTAACTCTTCTGAGACTGTTTTATTTGCTTTTTCTTCCACAAATAAGCATCACTTCAAGTCTCTGGAAACAAAAATAGTAAATAACGTATTAAAAAGCCAGCCATCCCCTCTGCCCTAGAGTAAAACCCCTCAGCATTTACCTTGACTGCTGGGAATCAGACATTATACAAGGTTGTCATTATAATGTTTCTGCTTAAAAACAAAAATGCAGCTTCTAAAACACCCAGGGCACGTTATGAACAGCAGTGTGGGATGGTGGGACCGAAAAGTCACAGCAAGACGGTCAGTGCACAACTCCACAGCTTGGGGCCGCTTCGGTTCAGTGCTGAGGTGACAGGTAAGGGGACGCTGATCTGCTTTGGGCACGAGTGAAGGCTGCTCTGTGGTGCCAGCGGCAGCAGCTCCGCGTGTGCAGGTGACGTGATCCTGCAGCGCGGCTGTCAGACCTGCCCCGAGGGGGGCTGCGTTGGTCCGCGCGGCGCTCGGAGCTGCTCTTTGTCCTGGGGAAGCGGGGCCGTGTCCGCGCGCAACGCGCTGCCCCGAGCAGCGCCGCGGGGAGGGGGCAGCGCGGCCAGGCAGCAAAATGCAACAAGGTAAAACCAGAAGCTGACCAGCCTTTTGGAAGGCAGCGCTCTGGATGTTTTGCCTCTGTGCCAGAGGGACAGTCACTTCTGGTGCTGGCTGCCGGGGGTGGTGATGCCAACCTGTGCTTAACATCATGCTTTAAAGGCAGCAGCTCTAGCGTAAGCAGTTTGACTTGAGGCAGAATGATCCTCTAGGCCCTGAATAATGTGATCTAATTTTATGTATAATTAGCTGTCCCACAAGGTCATATAGAAGTTGATTAGTGCAGGAGCCACTTAGTCATTTCCCCCAGTTATTTAAATACACTGTGCTCCGTGGCACTAGTATCCAGATTTAATGATATTGCGTTGTGAACCCTTGATGCTGCAGTTGCAGAGTGTGTGCACATACTAATGAGGAGTAAAACTGAGCAGAAGATGGCAAATAGCTGGCACGCCTGCCAGGCCTGGCAAAGCGTGGTGCCGTGCCAGGCCACGGGTGCAGGGAAGTGCTACGGCTGCAGCAGGGCTGGCGATGGACGAGCCTGGCCCCCTCCGTGGAGAAGAGCCAGGTCCTCCAGCCGGGTAGGTGTTTGAAGAGGATCTTAGGTGCAGCAGAAGCGAGTCCAGTGCTGGGCTTTTTGCTACGTCAGTGCCTTGACATCGACCTTTTCTGCACACTGCAGCGCGGGGGCTGTGCAACGCGCTGGTGTGTGCGGGCACATGGAGGGCAGGGAGCAGACCGCCCGCTCCCAAGGCGCCGTTCCGGACGGAGCGGATGCTGCCTTCAGACCCGTGTGTGATCACTTCAAATACTGAACACAGGGGCTTCCTGTGAGCTTTGGACATGCTGGTTTCTGAATTTCAGTCACCCTGGCTGCAGTTCTGGGGTGCGAGGAGCTGGGGAGCGGGGCTGCTGCTCCAGCTGCCGGTGTCCAGGCCCGCGAGGCCTCTGCTCACCCAACGCTCGGTGAGGTCGTGCTGGGAACTGGGCCAGGGAGCTGATCTGGGTTAAACAAAAGCCTGGCAAAGCAGGAGATTATGATCTAGCCAAGGGGATAAGAGCTCTGCAAAGAGGCACTGAACCCTGTGCTGCAGAGTTGTTGTGAGTTACCATCAAGCAGCTGGTGCAGTTTTGAGGAACCGGCTCGGTGAGGACAGCAAACCAGGTTTATGTCTAACGTTGCCCATGTTTCCGGAGAAGACCTGGGGAGGGGTTTCTCCTTACAGAAACTTCCTACCCAAGTACTGCCTTCTCTCCCAGCTGCTGCGAAGGTCTGGCTGGGACGTGGTAGCCTCCGTCCCTGGTGGTCTCCAGCAGTGTGCACAGGACTATGGGCTTCTGGGGACAAGTGGCACCTCTCCTTCTGGGGAGGAAACAGGCCCGTTCAGTCTCCGTGCTGTAGTGGCTTCTGGGCACCCAGGTGTCTGGATGTGGCCAGGAGCACCCAGGAGAGATGGAGGGCTGGCTCGGAGGGCAGAACCTGGGATCTCCTCTGAGCATTCCTCGAGCTCTCCATCCGCTGCGGCTCCCCAGGGAGCTTTGCTGTAGGACCAGGGTTGGATTCACTGTGATTCCCAGGGCGTCTAGTCTTAGGAGCTCTGAGAAGCCGATGGCTTTGGGAGCCCTCCGGCCTTTGTGTTCAGAAAGGATCAATATGTTAGTGTGAAACTGAGGACAAGAAAGCAGCCCTTGGGCACATCTCTTTGTTACTTGTGTTGTGCAAATGAGGAGTCCTGTTGTCGCAGGGCCGTCGAGCACCTGCTGGTCACCACTGACTTGGGTTTATTGATCATTTATTGCCCAATCATCCCACATGGCCTGGGCATCATCCTGGTTTTTCCATTAATTTGTATGTCTGCCCAGATTGAGGGGTCTCTTCCTATGAACACATTCCCAGGAGGCACAGACAGGTGAGGAACAAACAGTATATAACTGCTTAGGGACCGGGCAGTCTGTCTGCTGCAACAGCTGTAACTGGCTCTGTAACTTATACATCAGGGTTATAGAAAGTGCAAGGCTGACAACCAGGACCAGTGACCACCAGGTGTTTGAGATATAACAAATGAGAGGACTGATAAATCAGGTTAAATCTGTGAGTAACGAGTGCAAGAATATTTGAAGGTGCATGAAAACTCTCTTAATCTCCTCCAAAGGGATTTTTCTTTAAACATTTGCAAAAGCATCTTTTAATTCGGCTACTGGCTAATTGAAATTGTACCTGAGGGTATATTCCATTTTCCTGGCATTAATTCCCATTTCTAGTCCTAAGAAATAGTGAAGCTAATACTGAAACCAAGTAGGAAAATCAGAGGCTCATTTGCAACTGGAGGAGATTTGATTTTCCCTTTGCCTGTTGCAGAGCAAAGACTGTTTTGGTAACATGTCGTGGGCTGGGACAGCTGCACATAGACACTCACGAGGAGGCTACGTGAGAGAGCTCGGTTCGTCATCCTGTTTTGCTGATGCAAAACCGGTAGGTGTTTCATAAAGCTGCCTAGTGTCACCTCCTAATACCCAGGGGCTTAGTGACAGAAAGTGAGAGCAGGCTGAGCTGCTGCCTTATCTTCCTCCTTGCTTGGCATAGCGCTTAATGTAGCCCTTCACGTGTGACGTGGCGTTACGGTGACAGGGCACTAAACGCCGCTGGAGGTCTCCCTGCAGCCCTCTCCTCGTCAACGTCTGGAATCCTGTTTGCAGCTGCGTTTATAAAGCAGTGTTCAAGTCCTGATAAACTCGGTTCACTCAGCTGGTGCCCTTCCACACCATGGAAAACGGCGAGAATGGCTTAAATGTTTATGTGCATCGGTGCTTGATTCGGCCCTTTGTGAAGGGCTGTTTATCCGCTCCAGAGAGAGCAGATTTTTGTAATCGCCCTCTGTGTTACTGTAAGCTCTCGAATAGTTCCAGCCTTTCTGTTGACCATACCGTGCTCGTGTCACCCCTGGGGTTTCTGTCAGCCTGGGCGTTAGCCCGTCCGCAGCCTGGCGGGGGTCTTCTGTCCTGCTCCGGCCGAGTTTCCGTGGCCAGCCAGGATATTCCGGGAGACTTCAGCAGCTCTCGAAGGCTGGGTGCGACGGATGGTAGGAACTGTTACGTGTGCCTGGTGGGCTCGCGTGTCGTGGCCGGGCTCCACGAGGATGCTGTGCCGGGGTATGTGCTGGGTATAGCCCATGAGTATGTTTTAGGAGTTAGAGATACAGGAGTTAGTTCTGTGAAACTGGCTGAATATTTGAGAATCATTCCTGTGGCCGTGTAAGTGAAGCGGTCTTTGGAAAAACTTGAAATGGAAGGGCAGAAATGTGGTTTCTGGTGCTTTAAACACCATGTATTGTACTGGAGAACATCCAGGAACGATGTATATGTATATAAACATTTACTTTTATCCTTTGCTCTGTGGTTTATGAGAGAAGAGAGGGAATCTGCTGCTGTGCCGGGGGTCAGCATCCAAATAGGACCGTGGTGTGGAGGCATTGCATCACCCGCGGAGCAGGGGCGGGTTTGGGGCTGACCGAACGCGTTCGCTTTCTGCGAGCTGCTAAAAATGCAGGAGCTGACGAGGTCTGCGCCCACGTCCGTGCCAGAACCGCCTGGTCTGGCACTAACCTCTCCCCAAAGCATCCAGCGCCTAATGCCAGGGTTTTAGGAGCGGGAAGCACCAGAGCAAAGTTGGGAATGGCTAGAAAAAGAGCTAACGTGGAAATTAAGTTTTGCTCCGTGTGTAGCTGTGATGTCTGCC